ATGTGTATATATATATATATATATATATATATAGAGAGAGAGAGAGAGAGAGAGAGAGATTAAAGGCAAAATACTGAAAAACAACAATGCTGTGGGAAACAAATATATATATATCATTTCCTAAATATGTATCCTATATCACCTTCCAATTTTTTCCTGCATTCAATCTGAAGATTATAAAGCTACAATATTCTTAGAATTAGCCAAAAATTTAAAACTCATTTTCATTTTTTTTTTAAATATACTGTACTAATAAATATTTTCAGTAGGCCTAAAGCGGAGCATTCACAGCATGCGAGCCCGACGGTCGTCGGGCCGATGCGATTCTTCGGGGAGAAAGCAACGCCACGACGTACGCGTGCGCAATGGATGGTTTTATGACAATCAGTAGACGGCGTTGGTTAGCGCTCGTAGGGAGCGGAGTTGAATTTGTCTAATGATCCGGCATTTAAGCCTTCTTTAGGTACAGCTGAATACATGTATGTTATGTCAGCAATACACTGTTTTAATGAATTTTTAAAGGGATTTTCCAAGATTTTACAATATGACTTTAGACTTAAGTCTATATTTAAAGGAACAATCGTGACATGTACAATTTCAAAACAATATAGTTGTGTACGTCGGCCTTATCATTGGCAACAGTACAAGCCCATACCGTAATTATTTTATGGTTGAATCATAATTGAAATGATTTATCTACATTGCGCTTTTTCCAGAATACATAAAACTAAAATCGGTTAAACCTAATCACACGACCCACTCAGTAATATTTAATGTAGGATTGCGGATATATCAGATGAAGAAATAATTAGCGTTTACACGAATGTATGCCGAGTACTTGGAAAATGTTACATTTGCTTCCAAATGGAAACCGATCCATTGGGGATTAAACAGTCGATACGATCAGAAATTATTTATGAAATGAACATTACCCGTCATAATGAAATAAAGCGGCCGGACAGTGTCCAATCACGTTATGTTTCTAAGTGTCCGTAATGTCGACGTCACACTAAAATCAGTCATTTATCACCATATTTACCATACTGGAATGACTGTGGTATAGGGCAAGTCTATACGCAGCGCTAACCACAAAGTGCGAGTATCAACAATGGTATAGTCGTGGGCTTTTATGACAAGTGTCAAATTCCGTGTTGTGAACGCGTGGCATTCCTACATTTAACGCGATCTATGATTAAAAAGTAAAATGCAATACAAACATGCACTGTAGCTCTTTTTAGGTCATCGTTTCACTTGAAAGTAGTTTTCAATTTCTATGAAAAGCATACGAACCGGTTCTGATAAAAACATCTTTGTAATCAGAGTATACTTTCTGTTCCAAATACGTGAGAAAGTAACAATTGGATTAACCACAGGACGTTCACTTATCCCGGACCACGTGTAACGTCCCAGTGCGTCCCCACGCTCATGACGCCTTTTTAAACCCTCGTGGATGACGGTAAA